TTCTCTCTCTCTCTCTCTCTCTCTCTCTCTCTCTCTCTCAATAATATGGTTTTTATAAGTGTCAAAAATAAATTTTTGCTAAATAATACAGTAAAAAATTAATTTTTGACATTTATAAAACCCATATTGTTGAGAGAGAGAGATTGCTGGTTGATTGGATAATTATTCAATCTATATATTATATGATATATCTAAGAGAACCGAACAGTAAGATGAATTCACACATGCGTGCGCGCATACACAGACAAGCCTTATACGTATTCAAATATAAAGTGAGAGTTGTTCAGTCCAACCTACTTGCCTCCGATTGAATGGTTAAACAAGGTTGGCTTCGATGAAAGTTTCAGTTGGTGTAAAAGCTAGAAAGGTGACAAGATCGTTCGCGAAAAACTAAATCGCTGTTAAAATATATTCCAAAATTTTGATATAAAGATTTAAAGAATCTGTATTTGTGATCGTAACTATTCACAATACGTTAAAAAGATATTAATATTCAAGTGATTTTACGCAATGTGATGCTAGAGTGATATTAATGCTGAATATTATATTTAACAGTGTACGAAGAAGGTGAAGGAGAAAAGTGATTCAATTTCCCATTTTTTAACCGCATAAAGCAAAATCGTTTATCTTTATTAAAAATAATTCGCAATTACTCTGCAAAATGATAAGTAAATTTATTATTATCGGATTTCTTTCATATTTGTGTTCCGAAACTCGCGCTCAGTATTCATTAAAATATTTCGAAAAATCATCAGTTGAAAGTCAATGCGTTTTTGATTTTTACCAGAAGAACTATAATGTGACAGATTTATTACGGTAAGTATGATATAATATTTTTTGATAAAAATATTAGCAAATATATTTTTTAAAAATATTATTGCGTTTGTGCAGTAATATGCAATAATAAAAAACACATATATATAGGGTGTCCGGTAATTACTGAATCACCTCTCGGGTGCAGGTAGAGCGGGTTAAACCGAGTAGAAAAGTTCTCTACCGTTTTGCGATTTCCGCAATAATTAATTAATTAAAGAAGATCGGCTAATTTGCGCGAATCTAAGCGCGCGGCGAGAAGAGACAGTCCATTGTTACGTGGTCGCTACGACGCAAAAATCTAACCTTGTCGCTCGTATGTTACCGTTGACATTTGTAGAACGCTCCTCCCAACGCTTCATCGCGCGCCTAGTAACAAAATAACAGTGCACTCAAAAAAATATTTCGCTGATGTAGTTAGATTTCTAGATATCGCAACAAGAATGTATCGCTATTTTTCGTATCTGTGAAAACATTGTTTGTCACATATAGAATTTATAGCAGTAATGTTCTAGCAATAGCTTTTGAAAAATTTAGGTACCATTGCTAAATGTTATTCATTGCATGATCTAACACGTGATTGATCTTATATAGATAGGCGCTTTAGAGAAACTTTCTTTTTAAAGTTCACAAACAATACAGATATATATTCTGTTTCTGTCATCTAAACTGATTAAGTAATTACATATGCAATATCACAACAGTTGCTAATCATTTATCTGTTTTAGTTAATTTTTACACCTAGAAAATTTTAGCTATTATTGCAAGATCATTTTTTGAGTGTGGGCTGTACCGTTACGGATCTCTTCCTCGCCGCGCGCTTAAACTCGCGCAAATTGGTAGATATTTTTTAACTAATTTCTCATTAATTATTGCGAAAATCGCAAAACGGTAAAGGACTTTTCTACTCGGTTTAATCTGCTCTACTTATACCCGAGAGGTGATTCAGCAATTACCGGACACCTTGTAT